TCAAAAGACCCTACGTCCAGTTGCTAATCACTCAAACAGAGGATTAACGTTGTCACTATAATCAAAGTTATACAAGCAGATTACAAATGAAAAAAATAAAGTAACGAAAACACCTCTTTTGAGTCCCACAAGAGATGAAGAATAAATTTCCCTAGAGACGGCACAACACACAATCCACTAAGAACTCCACTTAGTGATTCTTATCGCTTCTAGTCCACACCAGGTTCCAAAAGCCCCTTTTTCCTCCAACAAACAGTTCTCTGGCAATCACAACTCTTAACTTTTGTTTGAAAAAGGTTGTTCAATTTTCTAAGAGCCTTAGAGAACCTTAAGTAGATGAATTAGGGTTTGGGAATTGGGGATTTTCGAAACTTGGTGTATTGGGACTAGGGTTTTCGAAAATAGGTTTAATTTGAAGTTCAAAATCCAAATCTGACTAAAATAATCGATTAAATTAAGTGTTAATCGATTATTATAGAGCCAAAATCAACAGAACCCCAAAACGCACTGGTTTAATCGATTATTTGCCCTGTTAATCGATTAACAGGCCTATTAATCGATTAACAAGTGTGTTAATCGATTATCACAGTGAGCTGATACAGAAAATGGTTTTTATCACTGTAATAATCGATTATCTGGTGATTTAATCGATTAAACCCGAGCCTTTTTTATAAATATGAGTTTTTGAAGCTTCTAAAGAGTAGATTATGTACCGGCTATCTTAGACTCTAATATTACAGACTCAAACTCATCAAAACAGAGTTACTACACAATAATACAAGTCTTCAACTCTCTAAGTTCTCTGTTCTTGAATCATCATCAAAATCAACAAGCTTCATGTCCATGTAAGTTCAACATCAAGTCCTTGTATGTTTCAACAATTGATGGATTGATTAATTTCCAAACCTGATTCATCCTTGTCTAAATAGCATGAAGTTACCATGGGTGTGTTAGCTTCCTTTGAAGTGTTCATTCCAAACTTTTTTAGAATCTCTTTGCAGTATTTGGTTTGAGAGACAAAAATGTCATCTTTAAGAACAGAGAACTTACATGGACATGAAGCTTGTTGATTTTTATGATGATTCAAGAACCAAGAACTTAGAGAGTTGAAGACTTGTATTATTGTGTAATAACTCTGTTTTGATGAGTTTGAGTCTGTAATATTAGAGTCTAAGATAGCCAGTACATAGTCTACTCTTTAGAAGCTTCAAAAACTCATATTTATCAAAAAGGCTCGGGTTTAATCGATTAAATCACCAGATAATCGATTATTACAGTGAGAAAAACTATTTTCTGTATCAGCTCACTGTGATAATCAATTAACACACCTGTTAATCGATTAACAGACCTGTTAATCGATTAATAGGGCAAATAATCGATTAAACCAGTGCGTTTTGGGGTTCTGTTGATTTTGGCTCTGTAATAATCGATTAACACTTGATTTAATCAATTATTTCAGTCAGATTTGGATTTTGAACTTCAAATTAAACCTATTTTCAAAAACCCTAGTCCCAATACACCAAGTTTCGAAAATCCCCAATTCCCAAACCCTAATTCATCTACTTAAGGTTCTCTAAGGCTCTCAGAAAATTGAACAACCTTTTTCAAACAAAAGTTGAGAGTTGTGATTGCCAGAGAACTGTTTGTTGGAGGAAAAAGGGGCTTTTGGAACCTGGTGTGGGCTAGAAGCGATAAGAATCACTAAGTGGAGTTCTTAGTGGATTGTGTGTTGTGCCGTTTCTAGGGAAAGTTGTTCTTCATCTCTTGTGGGACTCAAGAGAGGTGTTTTCGTTACTTTAACTTTTTTATTTGTAATCCGCTTGTATAACTTTGATTATAGTGATAGCATTAATCCTCTGTTTGAGTGATTAACAACTAGACATAGGGTCTTTTGATCCGAACCAGTATAAATCTCCTGTGTAAGACTCTATCCTTTTCTTATTTATGTTTACACAATATTTTAATCGGTAAAATTTGGGGAAAATTTTTAAAACCTAATTTTTGTTAAGAAACCAATTCACCCCCCTCTTGGTTTTTGTTCGATCACACAAACATTCCGCTGCGCGATTCTAACAGTGTTCTCTTCTTTCTTTTCTTTATTTGGTATTCTTGAAACCTTAACACAATTCTAATTCTTTTTCAAATTTGATTATCAGACAAAAGATTCAAATAATTGATTAGATCTCAGAAAGATTTTACAAACCCAATTCAGCCCCTTTTGGGTATGTTTAGTCATTCAGTTTTTTCTAACAAGTTCATCTCAAATATTGAAACAACTTTAGATGGTCTCCTTTAAGAATTCTTTGCACTCATTGACTTATCATAATTGACTATCATAATAACCAAAATTTTCATCCTTAGAAATTGAACTATTTATATCTGATTTCATCGAAGTAACATCACGATGCATTAAAAATTATAATAAGGTGATTTTTAATTATTACTTTAAGATGAAATAATTTTTTTTAAGAAAAAAAAACATGTGCAAAAATTTATATTATGTAGTACAATAACATATATTTTTTATACATTATTAATTAAAAATAAAATGTTTGTTAAGGTTCCAACATAAAATCAATTGGCAATATGTGGAGTAGCCTAACATGCATTTAAACTATACCAAATGACATGAGGTAGGCGATGTGGGACTTCCAACACGCTCCCTCTAATGAGGTCTACTGAACCAGGCAAAGGGTACTTTTTGACCCAACGAAATGACAACTTTTGACCCAAGACAACAACCGGAAAGATATTAGGTTTTGGCTCTGATACCATGTTAAGGTTCCAACATAAAACCAATTGGTTATATGTGGAGTAGCTCTAGCATGTATTTAAACCATGCTAAAGGCGATGTGGGACTTCCAACAATGTTATTTTATTTTAAGTAATCATTAAAAATTTATTTGAGATTAATTTTTACAAATTCTATTTCAATATAATTTTATATTTTAATTTTTTATTTTAAATAATAACTCACATTTAATTTTAACATAATTTACACCAATTATATTTTATTTAAAAATATTTTTTTAAGACAATAGTAAAATTGTAATCTTAAAATTTTATTAATTAAAATATTTTTTTAATCTATTAAACTAATTACATTACTCACAATTTTTTCTCTTATTTTCCTCTATTTCTCGTTAACTTTACCTTCGTCCAAACAACTCTACCTTCATCTTTTTTTCTCTCCAAATTTATTATTTTCTACTCCCTCAAATTCATCCTCTAATTCAACATAAAGTAAAAATACCCCATTATCTAGGAATATCATGAAAAAGGAACAAATTCAATACAAATTCTTATATGGTAAATATTTTTCCAATTAGAATATCCTCGGATGAGTCTTATATGGTACAAATAGTATGTTAACTCGAGAAAAAAAAATGTTCAAAATTTTAATGACATGATTATTAAGGAGAAAAACATAATTTATCATCATTGGATGAAGTTGAAAGAGACATACACAACTTATATCAATAAAAGTATTTACATTCCAATGCAGTTGGTGGCTTGCCTTTAAAATGGTGCACCATTAATGTAATTCAACTTATGTAATGGGATAAGATTATTATGTGGTGGGTTCTATATTGTTCACATATCTAAATACTGAAATGCTTAACCTTTTGTGTGTAGCATTTGACAACGGATTCAACGTGTAGTTTTGTATATTTTATATTTAATAAATGATAATAGTCATTTTCATTACATTATGAATGAATTTTTTATTTATATTAAACTTAGACGTTACCGTTGTTTAGGTTGAGTTATTTTTATTGAAGTTTAAATATAACTTGAAATACCACGTTGTATAAAATAGAAAAATTAAATATACTCGAGTTCTACAAACTTATCTTTAAGGAAAAATATGATAACATTTTTTACTAATGGCATATATTAACAAAAAAAAGTCAATCATCGTTTACATCTTCAACAAGTTACTTCATTTCTTATTTGCAATCATAATCAATTCGAAGAAACCAACGTAATTTTATACCCCAAATTATCCCTACTTATATTTTCTTTCAAAATAATGTTAAAATGTTTTAGAAATAAAGGAATAGAAATTACTAAGAATTTTCATACATCTTCCCAACCAAAACACGTCTCATGATGATAATATAAATCCATCAAATCCAACAATATAAATAAATCTTACTTAGGTCATCTTCAACTTTACGTATTCATATTTTTTCATAATTAATTTTTTTAATTTAATTTTATTTTTTTCTCTTCACCTATATATTTCTTTTTTATTAATTATTATTCACGTTATTCTATCATAATTTTACTATTTTTTATATAAATCATGATAAATATTTTTTCTTTAAATTATGATACTTTTCTTTTTCTAATAATATCAAAAATTTAATTCAAATTATGATACCCATTAATCCTATACATATCAACCTGATAAAAATAATTTAATTCAAATTTCACAGAAAAATTACATAGTTTAAAGCAACGCAACGAACACAAGAAACTGATTTCAAGTCACGCAATTCAAATCAAACCATTCAATTATTTAATTTAGGATTAAATATACTTTTTATTCTTATACTTTACCTGAAAAATAGTTTTAAACTTAAATTTTTAAAATGAATAAGTTAGTCTTTAAATCTAAAACTATTAATCAACTTTATAATAATTAAAATAATTCACTAAATATTAAATTTAGATATATAATCAATTAAAATCATATTTAAAAAATAATAACTAAATATTAAATGGTAAATTTAAATATAAAGAATAGTAAAAACAGATATTTTAAAAATTAGGGAAAAATTATAAAAAAAATATACAATGACTAAAATCGTATTTTTCCTTTTAATTTATATTTCGTTTTACGATTTAATGTTATCAATTGAGAAGTGCAGAGATTCCTGATCCCACTTCTCGTGACTTAAATGAGGACAGTGAACGCCAGCAGTATTTCCGCGTAGAGACATGAAGCTTCCTAAAAACATTTATTTTTTCTTTTAAAAATTAAACTTTGCAATTCATACCCTAGACAAAGCAAAGAGCTTCAAAGACTCAAAGATGAACCAAAGAATCTTGAGGCCCCAAGAAAAGCATAACACACCAGCTTCCAATGTACACAAGATTTTGTAATTTAGGTTTTCAGCAATCTCAATTGTATCAAAACAATTTCCAAAGTGAAACCTAAACACAAACAATAAGAATCACAACATGGTTTGAATTGTGACCTCAAAACAACCCTTAGACACCAGTGATACATGAAAACAGTCTCTGGCTCCTAAACCTCACCAGTTTGTTTGAAGAGGAGGAATCAACACCTGTTTTCATCTGAGTGGATTGAAAACCATTACTCAAATCTCCAACAGAGTTGTGTCGGCGGTGACCAAAGTTGTGATCTTCATGATGAAACACTTTCTGGGTTGGTGGTGTCTGGTTCCGGAGGACATGGTCCTGAGTTTGAGGGTACATCTCAGCCATGCTGATGTTGTAGCTGAGAGCAGACCCTGATGAAAGGCACTCATATTGGCTTCGAGTTTTGTTTCTCTTGATTGCTCTGAAAACCAGCGGCAGAAGACCCTCCATAGGATTGTGTTTTTTCTTTTTCTCACCTATGTGGGGAAATGAAATGGCAATAAAAGAAGGAAATGGAGATGTAAAGAGATTATTGTGGTGGGTTTTAGTGTTAGGAACCAGGAAGGTGCTGGGGTAGGTGGGTTTCCATTTTTAATTATTCTGTCTTTTAGGGCCAAAATTATTTACGGATATGTCATACATGGTGTTTGACATTTGACCAGTTAATCACTGAGTCATTCATTGAATTGGTTTCTAGAGAAGTTAATTGAATAATAATACCACTGGCTGATTGTGGTGACCTTTTATGATTGGTGTTATGAAAGTAATGGTTGTTGAAAATTGAAAGATGGTTTTCTTTTAACACTCTTGCATATAAAATTATAAGAGATCATTATTTTACTTTACCTGATTTTATCTCAAAAGTAAAAATGGCACAACTTGAAAGTAAGTAAGATTACGACAATCACTGTGTTTAAAACCAAGACTTTTTCTTAATTCTGCCACCGTATCCTAAACTTCGAATAAACTAACCCGCAAACAATTTATATTCAATAAATAAAGAGGATATGTTAGGAAAAAAAGATAAACATTTCCACAACCCTAACTACCTTTCTTAGCTTATCTTGCTTTAATCATTTTTAGATTCATCCTAAAAGTAAAAGTATTTATTTGTTAGGCTTTTGAAAAAATGCAGCCAAGAAGTTATTATACAGAAAAAAATATTTTTCTTTGTTACCAAAAATTATTTAGAAATAAAAATAAATATTTTATTATGAATTATGAATTGTTTAAAAATAAAGAAAAATATTTCAAATTTAAAAAAATTATTTATATAAACAAATATAACCAAATTTTAAATAATTTAATTCATAATAAAATATTTAATTTTATTCTTAAGTAATTTTTATTAAAAACTCTAATACATTTAAATCACGTACGAAACTAAAATGTATATTATATAACCCTATGGGCGTCATGGTTCACGGTATTCAACAATATATATTGCTAATTCGTCCCTCCTTTTCCACGCACAGGCCAAACTATCAATTCTCCACGCACAAGGGTGCACCTTTGTTTTGTAATTTATTCCAACCTACAGACCCCATCTTCTTCCAAAGTCTACTTGTGAAAAAAAATCAAAGGCTTAATGATGTATTCAAACTATGAAATCCTTAATTATATTTAAACATGCTTTACATATTCATACTACTTAATAATTATAAACAATAAAAAAAATAATAACTTATAAAATAATTATAAAAAAATTAAATTATGACTATGTTTGATAATAAAGAAAAAAGATGAAAGAGGTGATAAATGAAATAAAATAAAATAAAATATATTTTTATTTAACTTTGTCAACAAAATTGATTTCTAAAAGGATGAGGATGTCAATAGTAAGTTGGGGGTGCCAATAGCAATGTTCATACTTAGTCCAAAAATGACAAAAAAGAAGCATAATTTTAATTGGTATAACTTTTAGCTTTATTCATGTAGTAGTTCTTGTTGTAAATTAATATGATCTTAATTAAAAATACATATTATTAACTTTGTCTACCCTTTTCAAAAGAGTCCATGGATTCAGTTTCTTCTAGTGAAGTCTTTCCAAAGCATGGTTGAAAGTACCTTATGAAACCAGACTTTTTACTTTATATAATTTAATATTAAATTTTTTATTAAAATAGAGAATAATAGTGATTCATGCAACTAAAATAATATATATTTGTTTTTTTAATTCAAAACAATTTTTATAATTAGTATTAACACTCTTTTAAAATTTAGATAAGATGGATCTGTTGAATTAATTGTAATTAGTTTTAAAAAATAATATATTTATTTAAACAATTAAATATTAATTAAATCGATATACTGAGACAATAAGATGAGTTTTTTAATGGCATAAAAAATTAAAATTTTGAAAATATAATTTTTTATTAATCACGTAAAACTTTAAATAATAATTATTTTATTATATTTTTATTTTATTTTAACTATTATAACTGTATGTGTTTTTTATATTTGTAATATTTTTTCTAATTTGTAATAAAAATTATAAAATATAAAATACATTAATTTATAATAATCATAAAATTATTTTTTATTATTCTTATTATTAATAATTCATTATATATTTATTATATTATAAAAGTATTATTTTATTAAAAATTTATTACACTGATTAAATTATTTAAATATTTAAAATTTAATATTATTATTTTAATAATCCATCCAATTTTAAAAAATTAAATATTAGATATATATATATATTAAAATTATTTTTAACTACAAAATTATTGAGACGTGAGTCACACTAAAAGAAATTAATTTTAAATATTCATTAAATAAATACCAAATAATGATAAATAATAATAGTTTTTTTCTTGATGAAACTGATAATAATATTCCTGGGTGACATTAATCTCAAACATATATCATTTTAACATGAATCTCATAAATATAATTTTCTTAAATTTAAAATAAAAATTAATATAAATATTTTTAGTCAATTTTAAGAAATTTATATTTTTAAACTCATTAAAAAATAACATTTTTTTAATTGATTAAAATTCCAATAAAGAAAATTGACACTTTCATTTTATTTATTTCACCACAACCCATTATATATGGAAGTTGTACACTGGGATTGATTGCCAATTAAAAAATGTAATGGCAAGTTAGTCGCACCAAGTCAACGTAGTTATTAATGTGTATTTAGAAATAGATGCAACGCAAATTTATAGTTTTTGTACTAAAATTTATTTTAATTTAATTGGAAATTAATAATAGTGTAATTATGAGGCTTTTTAGGTATATATATAAAATAGATTAAATTTTAGTGTGATTTTTATTCTAAGTCAACTTTTAATTTTAAATTAAATAATATATTATTAATAATATAAAAAAAATTATAAATATATAATTATGTATATTTAATAATTATTAAATTTAAGTGACTAAAATCATTAATATTAATAAAAATTTTAAAATTTTAAAAATAACAAAAGACAAAAACCATAAATATTAATATAAATTATTAAAATTACGAGAACTTGTTTTCAAAAATCAATCACGATATATATATATATATATATATATATATATATATATATATATATATATATATATATATATTAATTCATACACTTTTTATCATTTATTTAGTGACATTTCAATTAAATTCTATTTAATCAAAATATCATTAATAACATGATCACCAAACTTTAATCTAATTAATTCATACAATTTTTATCATTTATTTAATGACATTTCAATTAAATTCTATTTAATCAAGATATCATTAACAACATGATCACCTAACTTTAATCTAATTTTTAACATTCTCTCCTGTTTGGATTTTGAAGTTCATGAATAACATTACAACTATAATATTATATATTACATTATTCCTAAGTTTGTTTAAAACTCTTGACTCTTTAGACAAAACATGTTTTGTCTCTCAATTTAACCTAAAATAACTTCTTTTAGTTTCATATATTTCTTAACATGCACGTAACAAATATCATATATGACACTCTCCTAGTAACTTTATATCTACCACTAATAACATTATTGATCTATTGTCTAATATATAATAATGTATAATTATATTACGTATTATTTTTTTCTCCAAATTCTAACAAGTAACTAATTAAAAGTGCATTAAATTTGTCTTCAATATGTAGAAAAGAAAAAACAAAAAACAAAACAAATGTTAAGAATTTTATTTTCCTTCTTCATTTATAAATTCTAATTATAAAACCTTGCTTGCAGCTTCAAGAACACGTGTTCTTTTTTTTATAACACGTGTTTTTATTTTTTGTTTTTTCTTTTGTCCGTTCCAAATTTCTTTTACCCTAAAATTTGAGTTCAATTCCCGATTCCTAAAGTACATTACAATTATAAGTTCCATTTAAAAAACACCTACTTCCTACTTACTTTATATTGTGTGTGGAAAGACCATAATGACCCGTAAATGTAAATTGGCACACAAGTGTGTAAGTTAATTTTCTCAACAATTGGAACTACATTTTAGTTTCTATTGATTAAATTATTATTTGTAAAAAAAACTATATTGAAATTAATTAATTCAATAAATATTTGTTTATGGGGAGAGTCACAGCTCCTTCAATCAAACGGCATAATAAGTTTGGTAAAACGAATAAATGGGTGTTTGACTATCCATAAGAGAATTGAAGTTTGCATTTTTTTTTTACTCTTTATTTCTTTAAATATTATTATTTACAAAATATCAAATTAATATTATGATATTTTATTTCATCAATTCGTTTGTTATTATATATCTAAATTTTAGAGCATAGATAATTTAGCTTTATTTGTGTGATATGTTATACTTGAACAATTTTTAAACATATAATTTCATGATAATCTTTTAGATCTTATTTCTCAGATAGATTTCCTTAAAAATTTCAATTTATCAAATTATTGAATTCCTTTTCAGAAAAAAAAAACTTAAAAAGATAAAGTGAAATAATAACATTTGATTACAAAATAATTATAATTAATTTTACAGTTTATTGAATATATATATATTTACGTTTATTACCCATTTAAACTGTTGATTTGCTAATAAGACATTATTATTACAATTTATTGTTAGAATGTATTTCCTTGTCGAAGAGTTGAATTATTTTTCAGTTATTTGTTTATAACATTTTTATTGTTAAAACAATATTATTTAAAACAAAAAATCTTATTTTAAAGTGTTTTTCACTTAGCTAAGAAAGGATAACTTTATTACTTTGTTTATTTTTATCAAAATAATTCAATTAAACAATTACATAATTACATAATATGTGAACTAGAAGGAGAATAATTTAAAGCACATAAACCAAAAGTTCTTTAAACAAATGGATCAATTAAATAAATTTGTAATTATAATTTAAACCTTCAAGAATACAATATACAATAAAAAATATATTTAATTATTTTATTATCATATAATAAATTAATCCAAATAAAATAAAAGAATTTATATATAAATATTAATTAAAAATATGAAAAAACTGACATTAATTTAATAAAATTCATTATCCAAATGGAGACATAGTATAGTGGTGCTATGATTCCTTTAGTATCTATTATACAAAAGTGATGTAATCCGATATCTATGTTTTCGCAATGATTCTAGAGGGTAATTATGGTAATTAGTCGAAAAACAAGGGACATACTTTCTCACGCATTTCTCGCATTTTCCTAATGATCTTTGTATATTTATCCATGATCTTTGAATATATATAAGCCACTTTCTTCTAAACCCACACTTCTCTGTTACTCCTTTCTGTTTACTCTTCTGGATCCTCCGCCCGAGACTCTTGGTTCGGCTTCGGATCCATCTGACATCATAAAATATCTCCGAAACCTCATAGAATTATTCATTTTCCGTTTTGACTTTCGGTTCCGCTCTTTTGGATTTGGTAGATCCGAAGCTTGAACCATTTCAAGGTATCCGCACCGCACTCTGCTTGATCGATTGCATTATCTTTTTTATTATCGGAACCGTATTTTACAGATTATCTGGTTATTTCGAGCATTGACTTTCGAAATTGGAAGAAATTGATAAACCTCTAACCTTGCTATGAATCCCTGGAAGTTTTTTTTTGTTTTTTTTTTTCTGGATCTGAGTTTCTTTGGTGCAGAATTAATTGAATTTCTTGTTGCACGATTGATGACATGATGTCATGTTTCGAAACTTTTGTTTTCTGCTTTAAATTGCTTTGAATGTCGCTGAAAGTCGGTTGGGTTGTGTGAGTTGTTGTCATGTCTTTGTTGCAGATCGTTGGAGAATGGCATCAGCGGCGAGTGGCGCCACGGGATGGTACAGGGGAAGAGTGAAGGCTGTCCCTTCTGGGGATTGTTTGGTCATTGTGGCAATTTCCAGCGCTAAACCTGGTCCTTTGCCTGAAAAGACCATTACTCTATCTTCTTTAATGGCACCTAGACTGGTAATTTTAGTCATTTAACTTTTACTTGCTATAGATTGAATAATTTAATGCTTTGTGTTAATTGCTTTACTGTTATTATTTGCTAATTGTTTTAGGCACGTAGAGATGGTGTGGACGAGCCATTTGCATGGGAAAGTAGGGAATTTCTGAGGAAGCTCTGCATAGGGAAGGTGCGTTCAAATAGAGTTTATTCATTCAGTTGCTACTTGGATTTTGATTGAGTGTTGTGGTTTTGTCTTCTTCTGGTAAAGGATTAATTATTAGGAGTCCAGGACCATCATTGCACTTTCAAAATCACGTTGGCGAGATTGATCAACACCATGGACACTTGGTTGTCGTGGATACCTGATCATTATGCCGGTGAACAGTATTATGTGTCTAACGTGATTTGATTTTGGAATATGAACCAGGAAGTGACCTTCAGAGTGGACTACAACGTGCCAGCCATAAATCGTGATTTCGGAACTGTTTTTCTCGGGGACAAAAATGTTGCTGTGCTGGTTGTTTCCCAAGGATGGGTTAAGGTTGAAAACTGTGTGCTTTGTGCTGTATCTGGGTCTACCATGTTGGGAAAGTGTTACTTACCCATCCACGAATTGGGGTTTTGTGCACGCAGATAAGGGAGCAGGGGCAGCAGAAAGGAGAAGCGAGTCCATACCTGACAGAATTGTTACGCCTGGAAGAACAAGCTAAACAAGATGGCCTTGGCCGATGGAGCAAGGTTTTTTTGGGTTTTCCTCTTTAGCATTAAAGATTGATTTGGAAAAAAATTGTAATTTAGACACCCATCCATTCATTGGTGTCCTGGCAACTTGTTTGCTTCGAAATTATGCTTTGCATCTTTGTTGCACACAGTCTTAAAGTTATCTAATTACATATTACGTGTAATTTATTTACTTATTTTGGAAATGACCACTTCCTCATATTTTAAATCAGTAAACAAACTTGTGCTTTGGTTTTCAATCTATTTAAAGATATTTGTTTAGTGACTCTTCCTGTTTAATGTTTTTGAAATCCCTCATCGGTGGATAACATATGGTTTTGTGGTGATTGCAGGTTCCTGGTGCTGCGGAGGCATCAATCAGAAATCTACCACGTTCAGCCATTGGTGACCCTAGTAACTTGGATGCTATGGGTTTGTTAGCAGCAAACAAGGGATTGCCCATGGAGGCAATTGTTGAGCAGATTCGTGATGGCAGTACACTCCGAATCTATTTGCTCCCACAATTTCAGTTTGTCCAAGTTTTTGTTGCTGGAATTCAGGTGAGTGTCAAATGCTGTTACTATCGCTGTTGCTATTTGCTGCTATCTTGATCTACAAATAACTAATTGTATTCCCTTTACCCCAGGCCCCACAAATGGGAAGGAGAGCTGCGCCTGAAAGTGTTGTTGAACCGGAATTGACATCTGATGATACTAATGAAGATGTTTCTGGGGAACCTCGAGGTACACTTACATCCGCACAAATACTTGCTGTTTCAACATCTGCTGCTGAAACTGCTGCTGATCCTTTTGCACATGAGGCTAAATTTTTCACTGAGATGCGTGTATTGAATCGAGATGTAAGTAAATGTTTCTGTAAGGTACATTACTTTTGCATTTTAAAAAAATTTTCTAATCCAAATGGGATGCAGGTTCGGGTTGTCTTGGAAGGTGTTGATAAGTTCAGCAATTTAATTGGATCAGTGTATTATCCTGATGATGATTCCGCAAAGGACTTGGCAATGGAGCTTGTAGAAAATGTATGTAATTCCCATGTGTTGGGTGATATTATCATGATTTATTTGTTCTAAATCAATCCATGGTGGACCTGATATGTTTACTGTCATTTTTTTATACTGTTTATTTGTTTTCCTCTATTAGTACTTTCCCTTATTGTTGAGGTTTGTTATTCGAAGGATGAGTATGATACAGTATGTATGCTGAGAAAAATAAATCAACAAGAGACATAGAATGGATTCTGATTTTGTAATTTACATACAGGAAGTGGAAGCTGCTCTTATTTATATAATTGATAAATACTATGAGCAACAGTTACCATGTATTCAAGCAAATTCAATTACATATTTCTCATAGCATCTCTGACAATGTATTGAAACTCTAATGTAGTATTTGATTAATTAAATGGATTTGAAAAAGGAAATATTGTACTTGATATTGTTACTGGCTTAATTGGGGGTTTGGTGGGCTATAATCTCCACATACTTGTGTTCTTTTTCTCTTTTTGATAAAATATTATTTTTCATCTTAAGTCAACATTTACATTTTATTGTTTTCTTAGTTTTAATGCAAGATATTTTTTAGGCTCGATTGCCTGCATGACATTTAGTTGGAATCTGATTTCACTAATTTTTTCTCTCTTGAATTTGGCTTTTGCCGAAGTGATTTTCTAATAATTTTGTACAGGTATATTTAGAATGTTTCTTCATTTTTTATAAGATGAAATATTAGTCTTTATACCAAATATCTTTCTCACTTTAAATTTTCAATCAAATAGGGTTATGCAAAATATGTTGAATGGAGTGCTAATATGATGGAAGAAGAGGCAAAGCGAAAGCTGAAAAATGCAGAGCTACAAGCTAAGAAAAACAGATTAAGGATGTGGACAAACTATGTACCACCACCTTCAAATTCAAAGGCAATTCATAACCAGAATTTTTCTGGGAAGGTAAAATATTACCCAATCATTTATTTATGTCAAATAGGCAATCTTCACTCATGGACACATAAAATTTTATGCAGGTGGTTGAGGTTGTGAGTGGAGATTGTATTGTTGTTGCTGATGATTCCATTCCATATGGTAGTCCACTAGCAGAGAGGCGAGTTAACCTTTCAAGTATTAGGTGTCCAAAAATGGGGAATCCTCGTCGGGATGAAAAACCAGCTCCCTATGCCCGTGAAGCAAAGGAGTTCTTGAGAACACGCCTCATTGGTCGTCAAGTATGAAAACATCTTATGATAACTTTTTTTAAAATCATATCTGAATTCAGTTGTAATTTATTACTGCCATCTTTTCAGGTCAATGTTCAGATGGAATATTCTAGAAAGGTTTCTCCCACAGATGGATCTATAGTTCCATCAGCAGCAGTGGATTCCCGAGTAATGGATTTTGGATCAGTCTTCTTATTGTCCAATGCAAAGGTTGACAGTGATGAGGCTGTCTCATCTGCTCCACCTGGTGGAAGTCAGCAAAATGGTGTGAATGTTGCAGAATTGGTAGTTGGTCGTGGCTTTGGAACTGTCATTAGACATCGTGACTTTGAAGAGAGATCTAATTATTATGATACACTTCTCGCTGCTGAAACACGTGCCATTTCTGGAAAGAAAGGCATCCACTCTGCCAAGGATCCCCCAGTGATGCATATAACTGATTTGACTGCCGTAAACAAAAATGTAGTTAAGAAAGCCAAAGATTTTTGTCCTTTCCTGAAAAGAAGTAGAAGGGTTCCTGCTGTTGTGGAATACGTGCTCAGTGGACATCGTTTTAAAGTGTTGATTCCTCGAGAAACTTGCAGCATTGCTTTCTCTTTTTCTGGAGTTAGGTGTCCAGGTCGTGATGAACCATATTCAGATGAAGCAATTGCATTGATGAGGAGAAAAATAATGCAAAGAGACGTTGAGGTAAATCAATTCCGTTCAGAACTTTCCTGTATGTTGCTTATATTTTATTAAATATATTATTTACTGTTTTGCAGATAGAGGTTGAAACCGTGGATAAAACTGGGACATTCTTGGGATCCTTATGGGAGTCAAGAAACAATGTAGCAGCTACTCTGCTCGAAGCTGGTCTTGCAAAACTCCAAACATCCTTTGGCAGTGATAAAATTCCTGATTTTCATCTTCTGGAGCAAGCTGAAGCAGCTGCGAAGAGGCAAAAGCTGAAAGTAAGAATGAGTCCAGACCATGCTTACATTAACACTATCCTTTCCCTGTTGACTATTCTGAAGTAATTTGTTTTGCAGATCTGGGAGAAATTTGTTGAAGGAGAGGAAGTATCCAATGGTGCAGCAATTGAAAACAAACAGCAAGAAGTGCTTAAGGTGCTCAGGAATTAGTATATTTTCACTAATGACCATTTACATGATTAAAAATGGTTAATGACTTACTCTGTTGTTTTACATTGGTAGGTAATTGTTACAGAAGTTTTGGGTGGTGGCAAATTTTATGTTCAGACAGTTGGAGATCAAAAGATTACATCCATTCAGCAACAACTAGCTTCTTTGAATCTGAAGGATGCTCCTGTGATTGGTGCTTTCAATCCTAAGAAGGGTGAAATAGTGCTTTGTTATTTTCATGCCGACAAATCTTGGTACCGGGCAATGGTAATTTCTTGCCTGTTGTAGATCTTTTGATCGCTTTCCTCACTCCCGTTATTGATTTGTTTTCTAGTTTTCTTGACAAGCATTCAAGTTGATGTTCTGTCAATACGATGTATAACCCTTTTTGTCATTTGTTTTGCACTATGAAGCAAGCTGTTAGAATTTCAATTTCAGAATATTAGTATACAGCGGTTTCATCTTGGTACACCAGTTTTTTCTTCACAATCTGCCACAATTTTTTCCTCAATTAGAAATCATGTGATCTAATACTTCATCATATGGTCAACACTATATTCACTCGTTCATTAGCACTTTTTGCAATGTCCTGTAATTCAGAGAGTTGATGATCTGCTAATAGTCAGTAGATACTTGTATCACCTTGTCTATTTCCACCCAATTTCTCTTTTCCTTGTGAGGAAGTGTCTGTTATCTTATCTATATTGACTATTCATAATTGACTTGTGTAGATTGTCAACACACCACGAGGACCAGTTGAATCCCCTACTGACATGTTTGAAGTATTCTACATTGACTATGGAAATCAAGAAGCAGTACCCTACAGTCAGCTACGGCCTTTTGATCCATCTGTCTCTGCTGCACCTGGTCTTACTCAACTGTGTAGCCTTGCTTACGTCAAGATTCCAAACTTGGAAGAGGATTTTGGCCAAGAAGCAGCTGAATATCTGAGTGAACTGACTTTAAACAGTGGAAAAGAGTTCAGGGCCAAGGTTGAGGAGAAAGATACCTCGGGAGGAAAAGTTAAAGGACAGGGAACTGGGACAATTCTTGCCGTAACTCTTGTGGCTGTGGATGCTGAGATCAGCGTTAATGCTGCCATGCTACAGGTAATATTACTGTTCTTTCTTGCCTGAGGTGCTTTCAAAGTCTTATGGTTTGATTCTCCATGCCATACAGCAAAGTTACCCCACAAAATATGTTTTTCTGAATAAATTTCTTGTCTGAAATTTCCAGGAAGGGCTCGCTAGGACTGAAAAAAGAAATAGGTGGGACCGAAAAGAACGACAGTCGGCTCTTGATAACTTGGAGAATTTCCAGGAAGTAGCAAAGACCAGTAGGCGTGGGATGTGGCGGTATGGAGATATTCAGTCAGACGACGAGGACAGTGCTCCTCCTCCTAGAAAGGGTGGCGGTGGTGGTCGGAGATGAGTATGCTGGGATATAAATTATATCATGTAGAGACATCTTGAGAGAACATGGTTGAAGTTATAGGCTTCAACAATTTTTATTTTTATTTTTTTTAAGTTGGAGAGAAAAAAGAAAATGCCCTGCGGATTCCTTTGTAATTTTAGTTTTGTTTTATTTTCCTTTTGAATTTTGCCTTTAGGTTGATGTGACAATTGTTTCCTATAGACCTTTTAATAAGGTACGTACATGCGGCAAGGTTCTTTGTCATCAGGAGGACGACAAAAAAGATTTTTGTTGTAGTTTATAATTTATTGCTTCTTTCTCTTTTAATCTTTTAAGAAATTGTTGAAGAGAATTTGTTTTAGCATAAATAATTTTTTCATGTCAGTTAGCATATTTTATAATAGACCCAACATTAATAGATATCAAGTCAGATTAACTAATTTTTTTTTTTTTATAATATTAAGATGAAATAAAAGTTCATAAAAAAGATGAAATAAAAGTAAATACCACGTTATTGAGAAGAATCAATTTTAAAGCAGTATCTATCATGCTTTGGGTGATCATGTAATCTTCAATTTGCACTTGAAGATATTCTCTTCCAAGTCAATGCACGGTTCACGCGGTTTTAAAGACTCACCTCAAAGAATCCTTATTAATATTTAAGTTACTAAAAATAATACTCAGATTACAAACCAAAAAATTAGTTTAAGGGCCCATCCAAACAAATAAAATATTAGAGGTTGTAATATATTTTATTAATAAAAACTTAAAAGATTGTTTTTTGGGACTGTGGCCCCGCCGGTCTTCCTTTCCCTCTCTAACCTATATTACCACACTGTTAATTTTTCTTCGGAATCCTCAACCATCAAGTACTATGGCTAATCATGCTCATTGAACAGATGTTAGATTTCTATTCATTTGCTGAATGAGCTTGTAAATCATTCCATATTTTTAAATTATAAATAGACCCATATAAATAGTCCAAGTGAAAAAAAAAAAAAAACTGTGATTGAAGTTGATAAGGAATAATAACAACATTGGGGAGCTACTTCCTCTTCCATGTACATCAAACCAGTCTTAGTAAGTGCTTCTATCCCTTTTCTTTTTGAATGATTTGAGTCAAATTGGTTGTTTTGTGCTTATGATTTGTTGTTATGTTATATGATAGTTACCTACGAAGGCCATTGATTATAGGATACTTTGTAATTAATTATATTAGATGAGATAATAAATTATGAGAAATGAGGATATAATAATTATGTGTAGTGACAGATCTTGTTGGGAGCGAGGGAAGTCGTGACCCCCTCAAAGTTTTGTAACTTTCGTGTAGTTTATGGTTTTGGTCTTTTCCAAACTTAATCAACACTTAATATATTTATTTATATATTTACAATTTTATCATCTCGGTTCCTCCTTAATTTTGTAGCTCTCATATAATTTATGATTTTGTCTTATCCCTCACAAACTTAATGATCATTTAATATATTTAAATATATATATCTATAATTTTATCTTTTCATCATTTCATCTTCTCTCTTCCTTTTATATTTATTTATTAATAATATATTATTTGATCCCTCCAAGATCAACGGTCAAGATCCGTCATCGATTATGTGTGTCTTCCTAATAAATAGGTAAGCACATATAATCGATTATGTGTCTGTATTGGTTCTTTTCCGAGATATAGTCTTGTGTTAGTTCCTTCTTTGATATATTGTTGCATATTAATATTGAATTATTAATTTATTTAAAATAGATTAGGATTTGTTATGTGTTATCCATTGTGAAGTTGAGTACCATTGTTAATTTTGACATTTAATTGTTCATGAAATATAATTGTAAAAACATGTTTGGTTAAATAATTGTAAAAATTAGGTATTTACTATTTTTAGGAAAGTGATTATAAGAATTATTGGAAGTAAAAATAATTGAAAATTTTTTTTTAGGAAATAAGTGAGATTTTTTTAGGTAAATAATTTAGGTGAGGAGTTAATTTTTAAATTATAAGTAAATAATTTTAAAAATTATTTTAGATAAGTAATTGTAAGAATTATTGGAAAAAATATTTATTTAGCAAATAATCATAGGAATATTTTCTAGATAAATAATCTGGGTAAGGATTTAATTTATTAAATTATAAATAAATAATAATAAAAATGCATAACTTTTTTTAGGTAAATAATTTGGGTGAGGAGTTAATTTATTAAATTATAAATAAATTATTTTAAAAAATTACATAACTTGTTTTAGGTAAGTAATTGTAAGAATTGTTGGAAATATAAATAATTATAAAAATACTTTTTAGAAAATAATTATAATAATGTTTTTTAGTAATGAACTTTAACTTTTTTTATTATGATTGTGTTCCAATTCTTTCAAAATTTGTCTTGATTTATAGCTTGAAGTCTTACTGGAGACCTAATAAAAGTGTTCACCGCAGATTTAAAATTAAATGACACAAATAATCTTGTTAATAAGGTCTTACGATAAAATCTAACAATTGACTTGATATGATCCATTTGAAATATTATGACCATTTAATTGATCTTGCTATGGGATATAAAACAAAACTAAGAGGATTTAGGGTTTATAATATAACCACACCCTCACCCCAAAACAATATATATATATATATATATATATATATATATATATATATATATATATATAATAATAATAATAATAATAATTATTTTTTAAAAATGAAATAAAAATTATTTTATAAATATAAATAAAATTTAAAATTTTAATCCTTTTTTCTCTTAATTTTTTTATTTATAATAAATATTATATTTATTATTTTACACTTTTTTTCTCTTTCTTCTTTCTATTTTCACATTTTTATCTTTCTTCTCTTCCATCTTCAACTTTTTATATTAAACACTCATTTTGTCTTTTTATATTTCAATTTTTTATTTTTATACTTTCATATTTTTCTCTTTCCTGTTTCACCTTTATAATATAAAAATTGTAATTTTTCTTTTTAGTTTTCAATTTGTTTCTTTGTTTTTATTATTTCATCTCCATAACATTAAATTATAATTTTTTATTTTTTAGTTTTTGTTGTCTTCTGTTAAAAAGGTATAAGACAAAAAGTTAAAAAAATAAGAAGATATTTCACAATAATTTTTTAAGTAAAAAAATAGTAAATACATTTATTTTCTTTATTATTTTTGTTTATTATTATAACAAATTAACATTGTAATGTAATATAAAAATATAAAATATTGATATAATTTTTTTTATTTGTTATAAATTAATTAGTTATTTTAATTTTTTATAATATTTTATTTTGATGTTAAAATGTAAAAAAAAAATCAATTAAAGTTTTAAAGATATCTTAAAAATAAAATTATAAACTTATTCTTTTAAAATAAAAAAGAAAGAATAAATGAAATAAATTTTATTTTCTAAAATTTAAATTTCATATATTTATTTTTATATAATAAATAATTTTTATACGTTAGTCTCCCACTGGCATCTAAAATTCTTGATTTTACCTTCATTGGGATGAGTTTGTGACTACAATTATTAGACTGGAACAAGAATGACAGTAGTTTGATTGTTGGGGTTTCCTTTTCCTCAATCAATTCGGTTGTGTCAGCCCTATTGGTCTAACATTTATGAGTTGACAAAGATGGATGGAAGGTAAGATAGATTGAAGTTCAAGTGGCACAGTACCTTTGACCATGGGGCATATTCTACCCTTATCCTTTACCGAATTCATTCTATAGAAGCGTGACGTAAAACTTTTCATGTTGTCTGCTGTCGATTCCTAACCAAGGAAAGTCCCCCCTTTTTTTTTTATTAATTTAATTAAAGTTCTGTGCTACTCGCCACTCCCCGAGCCCAAGGACGGGTCGAACCATCATTCCAGGATTTGCAGTCCAATACAATTTCATTATGTTACCCAGCCACCAAACCCGTCACCTCATGTGCCAAAGTTAAACGGTTATTCTTCCTTCCCCGCTTTTTCTATATATATATCTATATGAACGGTGGGGGGGTTACCAGAGAAGAGGGGACAATATATCCTCTAAAATAAAAAATGTAAATTCTGAGAACTGAGAATAGGGATATCAGTTAATAGTTACATTTGAAGCTAGCATGAGTGACTTATACCTAAGGTTAAGGAAGGAAAAATATGAATTTTCTCTTTATCACCATCGTTTTAAATCTAAAAATCCTATCATATATATATATATATATATATATATATATATATACTTTTTTTTGTCCGAGTCTTTAGATTTAGAGTGATACAGACAGTCTTAGGTATGAGTTACTCAAGCCAATTTCAAATGAATGGGTAAGTAGGTTGCTATTAATAGATAATCATATTCTAAATTCTTAATATATATGTGTGTGTGTGAGTGTGTGTTCATATTTTGAATTTTCAGGCGCGATTATGCTTAAGTACTGCAGGGTATATGATGCATAAAATATCACATTTCAATTAATTGGTCTTATTATATTATCTAATATAGAAAAAAGTGTAAGAGTAAATAAGTTATATTCTGCTCCATCTCAAGATTGACTTGACTTTACATTCGAGTATGTCCTAAGATAGTCAAATAGGTTTAATGAAAATTTTCTAAAAATGTTAAATGTGATAAACATTGATGGTGGATAACAACATGTCTGGGGTCACCATGTTCAACAATTTAACCTTAAGAAAGATAACATTTTTAATAAAGATGAAGATGAGAGGGTTCATCAACAACAATCAAGGGTTTGAGGAACAACTACATCTTTCCCAGTAAAGTGATACCATAAATTTAATATGGGGGTATTCAAGATATATAACAATATATGAATATATATGAATATATTTGAATATATTTGAAGTGTCTATTCATAATAATTATAGTAATCTTTAACATTATAGGATTGATCAAGTTGAAGGTATCTTTGATCATAGTCGGGAGAGTTTTGAGTAGACATGAGTTGATGCTATTAGTGATATCTTTGTATAAGGATCTTTATTTAAGTTTTTTTTTAATGGTTGTACTATTTTT